TTTGGACCCACAGCACCCGGCATTTCTTTCCGAGCCTCCTCTGCCCCTTATCTTCCGCTCTCCCCAATTTCCGCTAAATAAGCCGCTTTTTACTACACTTAACCCCCTCCCCCATTTCCTGGACTAATTTGCCTGTAACGCTGAACGTAATTTACCTACCATTTTACCTTTTACGCTTTATTCCCCTCCCATAAAAATGTTACTACTCCAGGAGAATTTATTGAAAGTATACGTATGCTCGCCAATTACTCTTTGGATTTTTGTGATGGGAATTTTTGCAACCTTGAATCAATTCAATGAATCAAAAAAGTGTTAGCAAATGTACTCTAAAATACCAAGTCAAATTTTATCATGAAACTTGCACGGTCTTTAGCGACTACTGTGTGTCGTCCTCACTATACCCAATTTTATAATGTTTATAATGCGTATCTGACACAATTTTTGTGGGTTATTTTGCATGATATTCCAGGATTTCAATGCGTGCAGTGACATTTAGCCCAAAAACAGTAAGTTATTTTAAATATTTTTATCTGCTCTGCAGACTTGCTCTCCTTTCTCTGATATTTGTTCAAAAATGATCTTTAAAAGAATTTTTTTTCAACATACTAAGGTGATGCACTCGAAGGGGAAGATACGCTGGAGGCATTTACGGCGTCAGAAGGTTCGACTGACTCCCACAATGACTTGGCGTCTTTGAGCCGGTCGTCGCAGTGGCCGGTGGAAAAGTTCAGTCCTATTGATGGAGCCGCAAGCATTTATATGTCAACGTCTTCAATTTTAAATCTTAAATGGGAGAATCTTCCGTGTTCTTTAAGTTAAAATAAATCACTTGCAAATGCAACTGTTCTGCCATATTGTCATTTGAAATCGTCGCGTGATATGTAGTGCCCGCAGGTGAGTCATTTTCCCCTTTCCATGCCGTGGAGTGGGTGCACCAGTTAACGTGTTCCCAGGAGATGCTCATTTGCTAACGCAAACTATAACGTTTCTAAAACCAAGTTTTCACAGAAAAGTCCGTAAATATGTACGTGTTCATAAATCCCAAGAATTCCTTCAGGAGAAGGACTCTTCTGGTCGCCTGGTTGCCTGATGGTTTGGATGCATACCAGACAAAATGAATGCATGTGAACGTTTGCATTCTGGGCGTTTGTA